CAAAGAAAGAGAGAGTGAGAGAATGTGAGTGAGTTTTCTTCGTCTCGAAAAAATGATTTTCTCCGATCCTCAGGAATGTTCGATCTGCCGATTTCGAATGAGATTGGATTTTCACAGAAGTGCTTTTATCGATCGATTTCGGCGAAATGTCGAACCGAGTGATTGCAAGTGTAGGTTCCAACGCAAGGGACTGTCCGAGACAAGTGCCTTTTTGAGTGAGAACGATGTGTTTCCCTCGAAATGTTTTTTGTGCGACTGTAGATTGTCCCGAGCCTTTGCTACTGTAGCAATGGCCAGCCCCACAATGACGACTGTTCCGGAAGTCCAGTGTGAGAGCGTCACTGGAGAGCAATTGGCTGTTGACTTGGCCGCCTTGACTGGCCGCCCGATTGACGAGATCAAGAACGAAGGAGCGCAGGCCACACTGGTCTCGCTCCATCTGACTGGCTGATTGCCGGCTGAGCGCCACAGGACATGGTGCAACTGGCGACTGGCGTGTCCTTTGTTCGCCCGACCGCCTTTGTTCGAGTGAATCCGGGGAATGCCGGTGTCCTGATTGTGGATGCAGAGATTGGGAATGAGAGTCCCAATGAAGAGCAGAATGGGCATCAGGCGATTGATGCCGCAATGGGCATCCGACCTCGGCCGACTCAGGCTTGACAACGCGCAGATTGTCAAGGAATGGCCCTGTCAACCTGGAAGTGTCTGCAGCACTGACCAGAATGGACTTCGGGAAGAATGTCACGAAGATTTGGCAGAGACTGGATGAGCTTATCACCAGTGACAGCCGAACTGAGAGTGACAAGATGGTCTCGGAAGCCTGCGCGATTGCAGACCGACTGTACAATGCTCAGGTTGGACTGGCTGAGGCTGTGTATCGTCGCGAGTGGAATGACGAATGGGCCCCTCTACTGTCCTTTGTGATTCCTGGGACAAGGAGTGGAGGACTGTCGAGATGCAGATTTGAGCCGAGCATCCTGATGAGCACTCGAATGGCCCAATGTCGAGCTGGCGGCTGAGAATGCACTCCTTGGGCATCAATGAAGTGCAGAACGGCCCGAATGAATGCATGGTGGAAACGGCCTGGTATGCAATGACCAGAGCCGAGAGAATGTTCCTTACCAAGGGGAACTGGCATCTGGAATGGAAGAACACCACCAATGCCAAGGAGAACCTCGTGCACGACCTGGTGGATGTCTACGACTGGGTAATGCTTCCTTCGTGTTGGAGAGAAGTTCTACCAGACTGGCACGATTGATTTGTCACAGTTTCCCTGCCACCAGCTGAATGGCAGCTTCTGCGCACTGTGAGCAATGTGCAAAACTGTGCAATGGTTCTGCCAGGACTGCTTCGAAGAGAATGCAGCCCATGAAGGAGTGGTCTTCATTGTCCGTAGGAGGACCAAACTGGAGGCCCACCGCAAATGGGTCGAAGCCTCCAAAGGAAAAATGAAGTTGGAGAATTACTTCAACAAACAGTTCACTGATCATATCACGACCCAGAATGGCTTCCCTCACAACACTGAGGTTCCACAGGGTGTTGCGAATGTGCCGAGGAAGTGGATCTGGACTGCTCCAGATTAGTCGATGAGGAGCATGGGCATCATCCGAATGCCCCTGACTGACATCATGATGAGGAGCACCAATGGCCCGTCGCTTCTCTGCCTTGCGGAAATGGCAGAATGGAACCGCCTGGCCACTGTTCGCCACAGCAGCCTGATCGAATGGCGACTGATGGGA